TTTGACATCAGCAAACGAAACACGGGTGACGCACATTATAGAGCCGGTAAAGTACATTTATGATGCAGAATCGACTGAGTCAATGTCAACATGGCTGCCGGACAGGGTGCGACAAGGTTATACAATGCAGTGTGCTTTGTTTTGTCGGATAAAATTCCACACTTAATTATTTTTAAATGGTGACACGTTTTACAAACGATAATGCACCGAAACATTTCTTCAGTTGATCCCGTGAGGAAGAAGCTTTGTTGTTTGTGCGACGTCAAAACTAGGCACATAAAGCAAGGTTTGAACATGTAAACAAAGAGCTACCTTTTCTAATCGATTTTCGCCAACTCATGAAACTTTCAACGTTCACTTAACGGTCGGATTTCTACCAAAGTAATCCACAAACTAATAACGTAGAATGTCGACTGCATTATCTGATGACCATGAAGCTAGCTAATCAGTTAGATGAGCTTCTTAGCGTGAAGGCACCACCCAATTTCATGAGACTCACGAACGATAAGACTAAGCTCGTCAACTCCGGTCGGTTCACTGTCCGCCACTCTACGAGAATAATTTGTCATGGAGGTGAAATTGAGGCGTGAATTAATCACAGGGCTATGAAATCACTGAAATGAAAAGTGACTTCCGTGTGCATTTGGCTCCTGCCCGCCAGTCAAGTTTTGACGGTACAGCGACACATCCAAGGAAAGGTAGCAGACAGATGAATACTTATCAACAGAGAAGTATTCATCGACAGACCTTACTTCTTATGTCACAATAAATGATGCGATTTCTTTCAGAGATATTCAATACAGTAAGAACATCTTCATATGAAAAAACTCAAAGAAACAATATTAAAAAAGAGCCAAGTGAAGCACAAGAGATCTTACCATAACAACACGATGTTGGCAGTCATTGAAAAAAACGTTTCTAACTCATACGACACTGCCGCCACATGTACCGTGGTTCATAAGATACCGACACCACACTCGGTACCATACGCATCATGCGTCACATGACTGGCAATGACTCACTTAAAATGGCTGAGACAGCACTGTCGTCTCTCTCTCTCTCTCTCTCTCTCTCTCTCTCTCTCTCTCTCTCTCTCTCTCTCTCTCTCTCTCTCTCTCTCTCTCTCTCTCTCTCTCTCTCTCTCTCTCTCTCGTCCCACATACCTTGGCGCCATTCTCGCCTCCCGTCCTGTCCGGTGGCGGTGGCACGTTCAGAGCTATACTGGGTATCACCGAGGCGGGCCGGGAGTCGGACATGCTGCCCACTTTGTTGCCCGACTTCGTGGTGATCATACGGCGAGGGTGGCGCTGCTGCCGCCCATCAGAGGTCAGAGAGGTGGACGGCTTCAGAGGCTGTAGGCAGAAAGAGAGGATGGTGGTTTAGTGTCAACGTAAAATGAAAACGTTGTAAATTAATTTTATAGTATTCCAACGCGTCAAACGTTATACAAATGGCTTGGAAAGTCATTTCCTAAGCTACCTGAGCGTATTTGGACTCAGGTGATAAAATTCATAAATAAAAAAGTTCATTTATCATCATGAACAGCAATCAAATTCATGAGCCCTTACCTGTCAAGAATAGGCGATGGACTGGATATTTATTCAGACTTTTCCAATTTCCAGGACAGATTCCAGTCGACTGTCACTCGATTCACGTACCTACTGAATCGCTGGTCTCTGTTACTTCATCGTCGGCACCCCTTCAGGCTTTTCGAGCGGTCTTCAGTGCTTAGTTCACTTCCAAATGTTCCCGATCCGATTTGTTCCATAAGATTCTTCGAGTACGTGCTTCCAGCTTCTGGGTCTAGATTCTAAGTTCACCGTCCGTCTGTCTTATTCAGGCCAGCAGTCCACCACCGATAAAAAAGTTGCATCAAATCACACGTAAAAAGACCTCCCCTCACTGATTCACAAACCAGCACCCTCAGACAATCCAAAGCTTCAAAAATCCGTCTTCTTCTTCTGTCAAACTTCTTCTGTCAAAACCTGCGTCCGATCGCTGGGCCGTCCGTCGGCTGGGGTTCCCGGCCGACTAAGGTCAACCCCCTGCGCCTCGGGCGCTACAACTGACCGTGTCAACTACTGCCGTCTGCAGGAGGGGGGGGGTGTTTGGAGAGGGGGTGATGCGTCATTGATCGCCGCACAGGTCGAGGGGGGATGGGAGGGGTGGGATGCTTCACGAAAACTGGGGTGAGTTATGAGTGCTGGTAGGTTCGTTGGTTGATTGGTTGCAATTGTGATTTGTTGCGCTTACGCAAGTTTGGTGTCGAAACATGCATTATGGCGAGGAGTAGCGTGAAATGGATATCTATCTTAGAATGATGGCTAGTGACTATCGCGTGGTGGTAAAAGTGGGAATGTTTTCCCTTTCATTTTGTTGTTACGGTGGTAAAAGCACGTTGTTCGTCGTCGTTACAGTAGTATCCAACGTTGACGTAGGCCTTCAGTGTTGTAACCGTTTAACGTGGCCTCAACCTAGCTCCACCGTAACTCACAGCTCAACGAGACAACCCCTCGCTCCGCGAAAGTTTTAAAGGATGATCTATAAAAAGACATGCTAAACTGCAATTTCATGTGACCAGCACTCATCACTAACACATTCGCTTTTTTAACGAAACATGTTTTTTTTTAACGAAACAGAAGTGAATATTCATGTGTATTCACTCGTTAGAGACTAAAAAACGCATTTTCTCAAATTAAAATGCATTGTCTCATTCTTACGTTGGCTCTCTGACATGACAGATTCCCTACTTAATTTTGCAAGACAATCGACAAAGACATTAAAGAACGATACAAGCTATAAACCACAGAAAATTCGGTTTAACATTTCGGTTGCTAATAGCTAAATCGAGACATTATCTTTCCCGTCAAGAAATATCTACCTACATCCAGTTTCCAGCAATTCCGATTCCGCGTTTACGGCATGTAATCTTCCATATTTAATGTCTCCGGCAGGCTTAACCTTAACACTACCATTACATAGCCTCTCTACTGGCATGCCAAGTCGCCGCAATACCACTCGTACCCCCACAACACATTCATCAAGCTCAAGGGCTAAGTTAAGTGACGGACGGTCGTGGTATGAACCGAGCTTTTAAAGACAATCAAACAATGCTCGTACATTGAGCCGACTCATATCAACAGCAGATTATGCTAGTCAGGCCACTTTGCTGCTATTTTAGACCGGGGAAGCGTTAGTTTGGGGGTATTTTCGTGGAGAGGAGGCAGCAATGTGTAAACAACGAGGGTGGCGTGGGGGTAGGGGTAAAGGGGACTTTTCACTTTGCCCAAGGGCGTTTTACAGTGACATCTTTGAACAGGGAAGCAGAATACAGGCATGTGTTCATCACAATAATCGCCATATGCTGGTGCATTTTCATTTGGATAATGATGTAAATCATTATCAAAAATCAAAATCAAATCATTACCATACTCAACATGGATACTCATAACTCAACATCAGTATTTTCATATATTTTTTATGCAGTCTAATGCAATTATTCATAAAATGAATGCAGAAAAAAGGTTACCATTCGCACATCCTCAAATCATAGGTATAGACAACAGGCGAATGTTTAGGCGATTTCTGGTTTCTGGTTTAAATACTCACTGGTAAACACCCGTCCCGTCCACCCGTCCACCCAGCACCCGATTCTGACCCTGTTTGTGTCTATGTCTGACCCTGTTTGTCAGTTTGTGACCAATCTAGGCCCGAGTGGTCGATCCTGTCCATCGAATAACAACGCACGTCGCCCTCCCACTCAGTTATTAATGAGCCGAGATTGTGTAACCAGGCGCACAGCGGCACGATCACAACATCACATCATCACAGCAGCTGGTGTTACTTTCCCTTCACACGAACACAGCGCGTAAAAACCGCTCAGGCATCAAATATTCAACGGTAGCGTTTAGGAAGATAGTGCGTTTGTGTGGCATGCACTGACATAGGGTACTTAGAAATGTATAACAGGTGTCCAGGTGCTATTTACGTACGTGACTGTGCCATCCCGACCTCTGAGTGTTCTTTGTTGTCAGTTGTTTTGTCGTTGACACCTCTTTGGTCCCAGTGTACCCCGAGTGAAGCGACGGCCGGTCCCAAATCGACCGTACGCGTCGTGTGGGGTCGAGCCACGCCCGCAGCCAAATGGAGGTAGGACGCGAGCGTGAGGGCACACACTGTTCGGACAGCTCTTTCTACTTCTGTCCTCTGTAGGACATTGTCCAAAGGACATTGAAGTAGTGCGAAAAATGATATCAGCACTTCTGAGGTACTGTGGTTAAATATTACACTAGAGTAAAACATCGTGTTCGGTGTGTTGATTTTTCCGGAAAACGACAAGGTGACAAGTTCCTGTCAAAAAGGCGTCAAGCGACGGGCTATGTTGAATGATGCGTGCGCCGTGCAGTGCTATTAAAAATGAAGTGGTACCGGTAGCAAAAGTGCGTAACACGCGCGAGATTTGCTTTCCAGAAACCGGACGTAAGCAATAATGCATCCGAAACACTTGACAGCCAACTCCGTGTTATGTCGAGTCGAACCCATGTAAGAATTGCTGTCCTTTCAAACGACGTGTTTGAAAGTCGAGCGGCAATTGCTGTCATTGCGAAACATTGTGTGTTAGAAGTTTGTAGCGGGATTGTCATGGCTTATGACCATGAAAATCCAAACTTCTTAATGTTTCCGCTTTCGGTTTATGTTTGTGCCTAAGCGAAACTTAACGTTGTAAAACGGAACCTACCTTGATTGTTATTTATCCTCGTGCATACCTATTATGAGCACACATACCTGAAAACATACGCTCAACCCGATTGCAGGACTACAAAGTTATATAAAATTGAATCAAGGCGAAGGCTGACCTCTGCTACCAATTACTATCCACTCTGCAATCGGCTTTTCTATATCTATGTAATATATGACATTATACTGTACACAAACCCTCCAAAGAAACCATTATGATTATTCATCTCTTTATTAACACCATTTCACCACAGCGGAAAGGATCACAGCTCAGGCCAGGCTGACCCACCCACGGCCCACGCGCCGACAAAACACCAAAGGTCAACACACGCGGCTGACCCCTGCACGGGACATTGACAAACTGACCCCCTCCCCCTCCCCGTCCCCCCTGCCGGTCACGAAATATGACATCCGGCAGCGGGCTAGCGCGTGGTGCTAAACAGAACATGGAAGAATATGAGTGATGGTGAGGTTGCAATGTAAGAAAAATATGCGTGGATTGGATTATTGATTTAAACATTCATTGATAAGGTTAATATAAAAGGCAGTGCAATTCAATGATATTCAATACCAATGCAAGTATTATTGAAACGAAAAAAATGTTTTTTTTTTCAAGCAAAAATACGAACACACGAGAACACAGCACAATTTTCGATGTTTCGTCTTTTGAACTCCCAAACCCAACTTTGTGTTCCAAATCCCTATAACGATCACCGTTGCTATCCGTGACAGAAAACTCCGTTACGTAACCACAGTGGTGTCACCAAAGTTGGAGTCCAAAATCACGGACAGCACCTAATCAAAGCACTGGTGGCCGCACGCTTCTGTTAGAAAGCCAACCAAAGACAGCGTTTGGTGGGAGTTCTACGGCCTTGATATAGGCATGAGAGAGTCGCTACGCCAATAGATGGATAACAGAAAAGCAGTTGTTGCTATGTGAATGCGCGGATTATGATGTGCAATATAACACAGAACAATAGACGGCGCCAAAAACATTCAAGCCTCACTGATAAATGCATGTTTCAGCAGGTGGCAATCAAAGCTTGATTAGCATGCGTAAATCATAATGCGATGGATAAACCATTTATGAAGTCTTACGATGGTCTGCATTCCAATAAGATGGCGGTTTAAAGTGACCATCCCACCTTAACATTAGTTTTGAGTTGAGATAGCCAAATTGGTGGCCATGGCCTGAAAATACCGGTTTGGACACTCACAACATCGAAAAATGCTTTAATTCGGAGATGGAATTTCAAACTTGCAGTTTTCGGATTCTAAGGGGCTAATGCATTGGAATGCCCCCTTAGAATTTGTGACGTCAGCGGAGATCTAACGATTTTAAAATCTCTTACTAAAACGCTTGGTAGCACGCGGTGGTATATGCTGCTTTGCGCGCAACAAATGCCGCACTTTCTAATAAAGTCGCTAGGAACAGCGGAGATCCCAAAAAGTAAACAAAAGTAAAAGTCTAATATCTTGAAAACCGGCGAATATTTTTTCGATGAAATTTGGTAGATATTCGTTTTCGCTCTTTCTGAACCGAGCGACATCATTTTCATGCCAATTCATTAGCTTTTTTGAAGGTGGGAGGGTCCCTTTAACAGCAACCCGAGAGCGATTATAAACCAAGGCATTGAAGCAGCGGAGTGCAAGAGAATAATATCCCCCTATTGACTATCCGGATACGATGGTGTCATTCTTCAATATGTCATGAAATTATGTCTGACATTTTGCTGGAAGTATTACTCACGCTAATATGAAGCAAATTCGACTGATGGTGCATAACATGACGATACTGATGACGATTATGACAAAATAACTGGCCAATTCATTCAATCAAGCACCACAACAGCTTCGACCTTCTCTCACATTCTTTACAAACCGTGCTTATATCAACGGTATCATCACATTTCTCTTACGAATACGCTCCACCTCGCTCTCTCTTTCTACCTCCCACCCTCTCCCAATAGCGATATCCAAGCCCCTCTCCTCCCCATCCCCACCCCAGAAGGCAGACAGGCAGCTACTTCGGTCCCATTTTGAACCACTTTGGCACACCTCTCTCAGTGGACCCACTGGCTGCGGCTGGGCGCGCCACCCTGCTCCGGGCTCCAGCCGAGGATCCGGACCCAGAGGCGGATCCAGAGGCGGATCCGGACCCAGAGACAGAGCCGGAGTCGGCGCAGGCTGTGCCCGTGCTCTCTGATGAGGGGTCCGATCTGTGAAAATAAAACGTAAATTAGCGAGGTGATGACGAACAACGTAGACCGATGGCGGGCGGGCTATGTGGTATTTATTTCCTTGGTTTGTTGGGCCCGTGGACGTATTACTGTCGACTGCAGTGATACTAAACGTATGCTACAGGCTTCAGTAGTTAAAATGTGAAATCAAACGTACAATTAACCATATGGGTACGGGAAAGCAAATGGCGCTGCCAGCGGAAAGACCAAGCGAAATGCGAAGGCGAACATTTCTAACATACGGTGTAGACTGGTTCGTGAACGCCATTTACGTATTTCAAATGTTCGTTGAATTTCTATATCCTTCACGAACGCAGTTAGCTCCATTCCGCATTATGTGCACCGCGGAACAGCATACCAATCCAGGCGCTGACCACTAACGCCATCTATGGACAGGAATCTAAGCTAATGCCCCGCGGAACAGCATACCACTTCAGGCGCAACTATTAACGCCATCTATGGACGAGAATCTAACCTGGTGCCCTGCGGAACAGCATACCCTTCCAGGCGCTGACCACTAACGCCATCTATGGACAGCGTTATAAGCTGATGCATTGCGGAACAGCATACCCATCCAGGCGCATACAACTAACGCCATCTATGGACATAATCAAAGCTGGTGTCCGGCGGAACAGCATACCAATCCAGGCGCAACTACTAGCGCCATCTATGGACGGGAATCTAAGCTGCTGTCCAGCGGAACAGTATACCCTTCCAGGCGTCAACCACTAACGCCATCTATGCGCAGAACTATAAGCTCTAGAGGTGCCTCGCGGCGCAGTATACCTTTCAGGCGCAAACCACTAGCGCCATCTATGAACAAAACTCGCAATCATTGCCGCGGGACAGCAAACCTCTCAAATGTAAAGCCACGGCTGCTGTAATGTTTTCTCGACCGTTGTAATTTTTACATTGACGAGGCGTACGACCGTGAATTACAGGCTTTTATAGCCGGCGATCAACAGGCGAACAAGCGTTGACAAGGGTCGGTGTCCTTGTGAGTCTTGTAGCGCCATGTAATCGCCTCGATAACACACGTTTATAGGACTTTGTAGCAGTTACGGATCATGGCGACTGCATGTGGCTGGGATGTTAGCTTCTGCTTATCTATTTTTAACGTGAAAAATATCAGTACGAGATGGCTCGAATAGCATAACCAGATAAAAGTAAATAGGCAATGACATTCGGCAATGCATCGTGTTTTTATGTGATCTACCATGAATCTTCAGTACACTGAAGAAGGTGGACTGAGCAAAGGTAGTAAATAGTGAATACCACCGCACCACCATTTTACATGCATTACCGTACAAGATAGTCTCTCGTAGGTGTCTCCCGTCGGACTTCAATTGTTCGGCTTTACACAATATTCAAAGGTAACAAATCATCACAATCAGTACCAAACCTCACGACTTAACCCCCTTCCACCCCCTCCCCCTCCACCCGTGGATGGCGTGCGCCACATATGCCGCAGTGCGACTATTCGGCGCCACAGCCGTCCCAGCCGCGGCTAACGAACCTCCGCTAATGCCATGATAAATATGCCGCCTAATGACAAACGTGGCGCTGAATACAAACTAGATGCAGCGTCAACACGGTGACATGCAGCCGGCCACCGGCGACTTTGAAGGAACTGAGGGGGGTGCAGGGGGGGGGGGGCTCGGGGGTCGATGGAAGGGGGGGGGGGGGTCGTCGCCAGGTGGGCTGCAATTAATGAGAATAACTGTATTTAGGTAGGATTGGGTGGCACTAAGCCGGCCGCTGCGGCAAAATGGCCCGGCTGGCTCGTGATGCAGTGATTGGTGTGTACTTTGTAACGGAGACGGTCCAGTTTCAGGAAAGGGTGGTGAATTTAAACAGTGGAACGGTTTCTTGCAGGTAGTAAGCAAATGTGAAAGCAATTATATGAAAAAAGGGGCTGTTTGTGGTATAGAGTTAGCAGTTAAATACCAATGAAGTAGAAAGTAAGGCGTTTAATCGAACTTAGCTAGCAAATGTCAAAGCAATAAAATGAAGCAGTAAGACGTGTTATTGAAACAAACCAGGAATCGATCAATTAGCAATAAGAATGTGAATTGTCAAAATGGCAGCCACTTACTGACTACCCTGTGTTGGAAACTTAAACAAATTTTCGAACGTCATGAAGACAATTCCTCAGTGCGGTGGGCCATGACTTTACCGACAACTGCCCCCAAAAAGGCGTGCATTTTTTCTGTCCCGTCACAGCTTCCCTACACACTCCACAATGCCACGTCCAGTTAGCACTCCAGCACCCGCCCTACCCCTCCTCCCTCCCCCCCCCTCTCTCTCTCTCTCTCTCTCTCTCCCTCTCTCTCCCCCCTCTCTCTCTCCCCTCTCACCCACCTCACTCCCCGCAGAGCCAGTGCCGCCCCCGCCGGAGAGCTCAGACGAGATCGAACGGACGGCGACAGGGCGACTGTGACGCCGCCAGCGGCAGCCACGTGAACTAGAGCTGCCGGCACGCAGTCCACTTCGAATAGGCGCGCAGATGGCGCTAGTGACGTCTTGGGAGGCGTCACGACTGAGAAAGGGAAACGGGGATTCGATTAAACGTGACTTCTGTATGACATTAATTTGATAATGAAGACAATATTTGTTCGTAATAATATTCATGCCCCAGTGGCATTATCGCAGACGTCATTTTATGATACATCATAAAAAAGAAATAGCAGAACAATACAACCAGAGCAAATGCTGCAAATGTATCGTCAACAGACCCATCTTAAAAAAAACATGTAAAATTGTAACAAAACGCTAATATCCAGCAGTCCCACTCCAAAATCAGCCCAAAACACACCTACACGCCCACCCCCGAACAGTCACTCACAGAGTGTGAATTTGGCGGCGGGGTCCTCCAGAAACTGAGCGGTAAAGTCCACCACCGCCTGCACCGTGTCTGTCGATAGGAACACGCCCTGGGAACGGGAGGGACGCGTCAGACACGGGTCTGGATTCAGGGCAGTGGTGACACTATATAGCATACATCAGCAGATGGCAGCCAGTCCCTGATCATAGGAGATTCTCAACAAACGGGACAGAATCTCGCGTAATATTGTGCCATGACAAGTCACCGAATTTCGGTATCAACAAATTAACACTAGCCCTCGTCTACTATCCGCTAGCATCTGTTTACCTCTCATCTTTATGGTAAAAAGCTTTCTTTCACCCACAGACTAGCCTGCAGTACCACCATTCTTGGGAATTCGACCAGTTCCGTCGCACATTGTCCCCATCCTATCTCACTCGTCCCATCCTAACCCAACCGTCCCATCATCCTACCCAATCCTATCCAATAGATACTGACCTGCAGTACGAGCCGGTCGGCGAACTGAACCCATCCCGTCCTATCCTACCACTTCCTAAATCCTATCCAATTCCATCATCCTACCCAATCCCTTTCAACAGACACTGACCTGCAATACGAGCCGGTCGGGAAACTGTACCCGCACCACACAGTGTCGATGGGCCGAGAGTCGGGTCAGCAGGTCAGCCTGGCGGCGAGCCTCCCGCTGATCGGCCGTGAGCAGGGGACTGTTATCCATCGCTGAACTGGGGGGGGGGGGACAGAGAGAGACAGGCGGTCAGATAGAGACAGACAGATATACAGACAGACAAACAGACAGAGCCTCCCTCTGACCGGGCGTGAGCATGGGGCTCTTATCCATCGCTGAACTGGAGGAGGGAAGCATAGATGCAGTCAGATAGACGGACGAACAGAAATTTAGTGTAGAAGGGTAGATGGATAGACAATTGGACAGTGAGGGGTTTAAAGCAGACAGACAGAGCCCAACATGGATAGGAATAGAAGCGACTGTTCGCGAGCTACACTGAGAGTTAAAAATTGAAAGAGCAACTGATTCCCCATTCTATTCTGACACACAACTTCAAAAACTGATTAATTTAACAATGCGTAAGCGAACCACCATCTACTTTCCCATATCAAATTTCATCTCCAGCCCCGGCTTCCCCTTCCCGAACTCACAGTTCCTCTCTGAGCTGCGCCAGCCGCCGGCGGGCATCGTCCACCGTGACGTCATAAAAATCATCTGGCAGCTCGGGCTGAGCGCTGCCAGATGCCGCGTCGTCCAGAGAAAACGCCACCGCTTGCCGCTCCCCCAGCTGGTGAAGGGATAATTCGTGAGGTTCAATTTGAGGGGTTTGGTGGTTTCACAAACCAGATGGTAATACGCTAACGTTGCATATCTGGGATACCGACGTATATTGTGATTCGTAGCCATAAACATCGTAAATGAGCTGAATCATACACACCAGCATATAGAGATTTTTTTTAAAGAAATACTTGATCTATCCCAGAGATCTATGACTGAACATAAACAAGTGAAAACTTCACTGTCTTTCCTATAAACAAATTAGCAAACACGTTTGTTCGATGTAAGCATTCAAACAACACCCTCCTTCCCTAAAAACATCTCGCCACTGCACTACCCCTCTCCCCGACTCACAAACACGGCTCGTTCCTCCTGAACCTCCATCTGCGAGCTGCCAGCACTACTGCCCAGAGAGGCGCCCTCCACCAGGAACGCGTCCTCGCTGGTACTGGAGGTAGCGCGGCTGGCCTCTGCACTGGACGCGTCACGGGGTGGGGAGACTGGGGCTGGTGCCGGCGGGCTCGGGCAGTCACTGTGGGAAGGGGTTAGTGATGTCAATTACGGAAAATCGGAATACCGATACCAAACCAAATACCAACCAAAACCACGGGAAAATACCGAAACCAAACCAACTTGGGAAAATAAGGGACATACCAACTTTTTACCGATTTCTTGGCCTATTATACATTAGTGAGGGTTTATGATACCAACAAAATACCAAACATATTACGATTGAAATGCCAAATACCAAGTTGGTATCGGTTTGGTATCGGTATACCAAAAAGTTGGTATCCGATTGACATCTCTAGTCAAGGGGTGCGGTGATATTGGTGCGATATTGGTGTCATATTTGCATTATATAGGTGTCAAAATAGTGTCATAGTGGTGTCACATTAGTGTCAGAGGTAATGTCATAGTTCGCCACACTGGTGTCAACGGTGGTGACTGGTGGTGTCATATTGATGTCATATTACAGTTATTAGTGTAATATTATTATCATAATAGTATTAACTTTGATACATATTGGTGTGAAGTTTGTGTTAAAATGGTGTCAGAGAATAACAAATTTGTGTCAATTCGATGTCAGAGGGGGTCATAATGAAGAGCAATATCCTAGAGAATCCGAAAGGTGGTAAAAGATGGGCATGCCAGAGGCGGATACACCCAGCCCCCGTTCACGAGCTCCAGAATCCCTTTACCGTGACGTCACCACGGCGGTAGAATCTCCCTTCACCCTTAGGCATGCATGCAACTTTCATCATCTTTCGAGCGAGCTGGAGAAAAAAAAACAAGGATTGTGCGTCATCAAAAGTTGTACCAACGTAACAATGAGTTCGCCTCATTACGATAAAATGGGGCTGAAATTAAAGAAATTAGACTACATCAAGCCAAAATCAGCAATTCAAATGACCCATTCATTTGAACGTGAAGGATTTCCTCTGATGACGTCACCACGGCGCCTTTATTTCCCTAGTGAACCAACCTGAGTAGTAAAGGAATCTTGGATACACCGTGTCAAAGACGAGTATTACAGGCCGACAAGGCTGGCAGTGGAGAAAGACGCAACTCCATTTTAAAACAGTATCTTGAATTTTGAAATACTTGCTCTAAGAGACGGCTAGACTTCAACCTCTGCAACAGATTTATAATTTCAAATGCCCGTTATGCGAGCCACAGACAAGGGATGAACGCTCGTAAGTGCATTTCAGTTGTATCTATAATAGCTTTGGTCGCTCTCCAACTGATCAAAGTAATGCTACTGAGAGTCGACCGATAACCCCCTCAGCGCGCCTAGTGAAAGATGAGAGCAGTGCGGTCAGCCCATGGACCCTGCACAGAGCTGATAGGATACCTGGACGATAACACGATAGGAGCCAATGGGCGTCACTGCTCAGCCACCGCCACGGGATACTGCCAAGGAGCGTTCAGCTTTAACTGTGTGAAATACCTACCTCAAAACGGGAAATTGTGCAGCCAAGCATTGAAAACTAGCGTCAAATACAAGTGTGCAAAAGGAAGTGCAAACACTATTCGCCATGTCGAAAAAGTTCGAAGATTATCTGGTCGGCTTTAAAGATCTACAGGAACAGGGACGGATCATTACTATAGCGGCCATCGTCCTCTTCAACATGATGTCTGCACACCTTCTGTCCTACCTCGTCAGTGAAGGTCGGATCTATGTGATCACGTTCTACACCCTTTTCATCATGATCCTGTCCTTCAACATACACGGATACTTTAAGGGTGCTAAGGGATTTGAACAGAATGTCGAAACTCAAGTGAGCGAGTCAGCGGCCGGGGAAGTCAGCTCAGAGCTGTTTGGGTTAGGTGTGATGACTTATGTCGCTAGACTGTTTGGAGCAGTTATCGGGGATGATCTTACAGATAGGCCCGGCAGACGCCAGCATCGGAAGTGACGGCTCGGGCCCGGCGCCAGTCTGTGTGATTTCCGATTGATACACTGAAGAGACTGGTGACTGGTCTGACAGTCACGTGACAATCCTGTGTCTCAGGCATTTGTCAGTCCCAGACCCTCTCTGTCTCAGAAAAAGGTTTGACTGAGTCAAAAGTCTCGCTGACCGAGACATGACTGAAATGACTGGTCTTACAATATAGGAGGACCGTCGCAGATTTTCAAGTTGACTGGCATGAAACATTGAACGTCAATCTAACGAAGCTTCCAATCAAATCAGCGAGATCAATTAATCTCACAAAGTGTAGCCAGTCATTGAAAAACCAGACTATTCCACGCCAGTCTTTCTCTTTCTTCATCATAAGTATCTGTTGGAGCCGCTGATGTGGTGACCAGCTGACGTACACTACCGTCACAGTTTCTATCGACACAAAGTGACGTATTACCAAGTCGGTGACGTGCTATGTTGTGTTGTAGTGATATGTGATGCCGATGTTAGAACAATGACAGTTACTGCCGTTTAGATCCGTTATGTTAGTTGACCTCAATAAGTCATAATCACTGAATACAGTTCGGACGAGCTGCGTTTTTTACCGATTCTGAGCAGTAGTAATTAATAATCGCCGGCCGAGCATATTCTATCAACACTCACAGACAATCCAGATAGAACAGAAGTGACAACTGATCACTGATCACTGATAACTCACCTCGCCTCGTCGACAGCCATTGGCTCCCCGGGTGCCGCCGGCGCCGCTCCAGCAGCCAATACCGGCTCACTGCTGGCCTGTGTGACGTCACACACCGCCGGCGCCGGCCGGGTGGTGACGTCATCGCGGCCGGGCGACATGGGCGTCTGTGATTGGCTGGCGGCGGCGGCGAGCGGCGCTGATTGGCTGTCCGGGGCGGCCGGTTTGACCAATGGCGCCGAGACGTGGGCCTGACTGCCGGCCTCCTGATTGGCGGGCCGAGGGGCGTACCTAAAACAACAACAGCAACGATCAACACAACAAACACTGTTACTCACTCAACAAGTACTACTCTTCTGGAGGCCTATGCACCATCTCTCAAGATAGCACTTGAACAAAGGTAGTCAACGACTTTAAAGGTAGACAACCAGGACTAGTTCCACATGACGATATGTCAGTAACATTTTGCAGGGAAAATGTTAGGAAAATAGTTAGTAGAAAGAAAAATAGTTAAGAAAATAAAGGAAAATAAAAAGCAAACAGCCTTCTTTACACTATGCAAAAAATATCTGAGCTATCAACCACATTATCTTAACAGGACTGGTCACTACAGATCTGTAGTATCCTAACAGTGTATCTACTGTAGCCTCTATTGGGGCTATATAATAACCCTATCACACTAAATACTCTCACTCACTTACTGTGAGAGTAAGGGAAAAATCCCCACCCCGCTCAACCCGAGGACAATCGCTCACCGTAGTATGGCCTTGCCGCCGGTCAGCCCCAGACTTCTGATGGTGGTGGCTTTGAGGGCGGCCGCGCCGGCCACCTCGCGGCGCGCGTAGATACAGACGGGAACGGTGAGGTCGTCCGAGGGCAGCACAGAGTGGTCGGCGAGTACCTCGTACAGAGTGGCTGTGGGAAAGATTGGGCAAGTCAGCAAGAGATAGGCAGATCTGAGATCTCTTGCAACAAAATAACTGGCTAAAAAAAAAAAATCAGAAAACTTTTTTCATCGTTTGCTAGACTACAGTGGTAGATTATTTTGCGCCAGCTCATAGCGTAAACATACGTTTGATAGAATCTATGGGAAAATTGTCACGGACCATGGTAGTCTCGGGATGGTTTGATGGTTTTCCAGTGCAACATAATCTCAGTGCAAGAAGCTTTTGCAAGTGGCCTCGGGCAAGGAACAGGGGTGGTGTAGGTCGTGTGCCATGCCATATCTCGGTTGATTGATAACTGAACTTCAGTGACGGGAAAACAGGGTAGCATTCAATCTAGTTCAAACTGACAATTTTGACCACAACTTTATATACTCATCCCAGTAAATGATCGGCAGCTTTCCCAAAACATCCGGCAGACCCCATCTGTAGTTCTGATCTCCCTCACCGGCACAGGGGAACTGTTTGACCAGCCTCTGGCCATCTGGCAGCTGCACGGCCAGCGTGACGTCACTGTCCACCCGGCTCTCCTCCGAGGCTGCCAGCTCCAGCTGCGCGCGGTTCGGCAGGCTGGCAAAACGCACTGAGCTGCTCAGGTCCAGGCGGCGGTTGTAGTGCCTGTTGGAGAGGGGGGGGGGTGAGGACTGTGATGGCTACTTAAAATCTCACACTGGTGACTTCTGGCCATAGCCGGATCGGATCATGGTTCTCCTTCATCCATGGTCAGATGGTGTTTAACATAGACATGACTATTATGGGCAAAATTCATTTCTCAAGTGCAAGAAAACTCATAACCAGCACACTTCTGCTTAGCCTCTTTTTATTATGTAAATCAATAAGTACATCATGCTATAAACCACAGTTAGTTAGTGTCGACCAAACAGCTATATTTGTCATAAGCACCTACCCTCTGTTTGCCAACCTGTTTGATTGCGATTTGAAAATTATTTCCTGTCTGCCAGCACAAAAAAACTTACATCAAATTGAATGACTTGGCATCCAGCTTCTGCTTGGCGCATGCCTCCTCCAGGATCTGCAGAAGGCTGGTGTTTGGAGTGACCTTGACCACCTGACGGCGACCGCCGGGGCACAGCACAGTCACCGACATTGACATCACCTGAAACATAATTCAAAAAAGGGTGCGAAAATGGGTAGTCATTAAGCGGGCGTCACACTTTCGCGTAAGCGGTCAGAGGTGCGGTGGCGGGCTGTTGCCTTGAGACTGCTGCCAGTTTATTATGTCACAAACGTTCTATCGATGCAGAGTTGATGCAGGGTTTTCTGTCGATGAGAGAACTTTGATTTGCGGAGCTGAGCATCACACATGAAAATGAATTGTGAGCCCTGTGATGAGACTGAGATCACAGGTTCAAATGCCACCGCCCACTAGCAGTAAGTAATAAGCGTGCATTTTGCTAATTTTTGATATTCGTATTTAGCCTGAGCCCTGATTTAGACCAGTAAAACGCCTTTTGGGGTGACCAACGGAGTGAGAGGGAGAGGGTGGGTCTCGCACGTGCGGAATTGCAAGGGTGTACGTACCTCCAACTAACTTGTGCACTACACCCTACTAACCGGTCCCTAGCGATGTGACGAATTTAACTGCAATCGGCCCAGCCGTTCTCGAGATCTGGAAGCGGCACTCTGCACGTGCGCACGTGTGAAATGGGTCCCAACTCCCAACTGACTTTTGCCCGGCACCCTACTTACCGGTTCCTAGCCATGTACCAAATTTCAGCGCAATCGGTTCAGCCGTTCTCGAGATCTGGAATCGACCACTGCACGTGCACACGTGCAGCAGCACCCCAACTGTGGCACATGGATATGCATGGCTTAGTGGATGCGGAGTCGGAGTCGGAGTCGACCAGGCTGCCTTGACTCCGACTCCGGGAAGCTTAATAAAATTTGTGGTGTTGCTTGCTGGGAATAAATTTATATCTAGAAATAAATTTTCTGGAAATAAATTTCGGAAATGTTTTGTTTTGTTTCCTCAACAATCACAACTGCTAGCCTTTATGTTATAATTTTATAGCCGCGTACTTTCAACTTGCGAATGTCAATGACCCCCGCCCCATCCCGGCCCTGAGCCCTCCGGACTCCGGAAACCGTTCGGGGATCGCCGGGCCGGCCGGTGGCCTGGGGCCTGGGGCACCGCCGCTCGCAAGCGTAGTTGAGTGGCGGTGCGGGTCGGGGGAGCGGCCCACCTGGAGCGCCGGGGAGGTATCCCACAGATCTCCCCGGTCGGGGAGGTATCCCCCAGCTCTCCCCGAGGTCGGGTGGTGTTTGCCGGGATTAGGGCGCTGCCCGACCTGGCCAGGTGGGTCGCACAGGGCAATTTTAAATGTTTTGTTTGTTTCTTATAAGGTGTGATGAATGTGGATGAGTGACTGTGTATCAAAAAAGATTATGAAAAAAAAAACTGTGATCAATGATTGGACAGTGTTAACCCGCGCCCCGTAGGAGGGGGGCCGAAACGGCCCCCCCTGTCCTTTTCGGTCGATATCTCCTAAACGGCTGGAGATATCGCCACGAAACTTTCAGGACCCCTCTGGGCATCAATTTTACACATTGTGACCAAAAATTTTTCCAGAGGCTATGATAGGTTGGCCACAAATGACGTCAGAGTGACGTCATGTTCTGTCATTTTCGACCGAAAAAAGACCTTCGCGAGAAGACCTGTCAGGACTACAGCTTTGAAGATACAGAAAAATGATCAAGACATAAAAGGTGTAGAATTGACAGGGCTACAAAACTGCTATCTCGAATTTTTGAAATTTTTGAGTTTTGACCCCCAAAAATCAAAAAAGCATTTTTTTGGATATATTCGCCAAAAAATCCAAAAAGTTTTTTGAGTTTCGAAAAAACCGGAAAATATGTGATAGTGCCTACCGTCTTCTATCTACATACCAAATTTCAGATCGATACCTCGTTTTTTGGCCAAGTTATAGCGAAAAAACTGTTCAAAAATGATGACGTCAAATTTTCAAACTCAATTTTTGGCAATTCTAGAACTCGTAGAGCAAAACGAAGACCACCATTAGACTCCCCGTGACGAGCTGCATCGAATCGATACCCATTTTATGCAAAAATATCAACTTTGAAATTTGACCTAATTTGACCTGACCTTGACCTGACCTTCACAAAAACGTGACCTAGGCTGGCCCCAAAGGCTGCCTAACCCACATAATCGCATTTGTCATGTAAAATGGACCATAAAACATGTATCACACGACACATTCATATTGTGACCCCCGGTGACCTGACCTCGCTGTGACCTGACCTGGTATCAGTGACCTCAGATAGCAAAGTATGTGTTTGACGAACAATGTACCATCGATGGTTTTCAATAAATTACCAATTTACTCGCTTTCACAGCACATTTCTTGAATTGCCTGTGAACGGTGAAAATCTGACCTTTGACCTGACCTGTGACGTCATCGGTTTGACCTAGGTCAATGAAATTTGGTCACAAGGTAGTTACCGGGGGGGGGGGGCTATCGAACGCCGTTTGAATTTTGAAAATCGGCCGGTAACTTTCCGATATCTTAGGGGGGGGGGGGGCCGAAACGGCCCCCCCCCCTACGGGTGGTAGGGTCCGCCGGTAGCCCTACGGGGCGCGGGTTAATGATTGCGTCGTATTTCGCATCAATCAGACCCGGAGTCGGAGTCGGAGCCCAGCTAACAGGAAACGTTACTACAACGTTGTCACAACGTCGTGTTTCGGTAAGTTGCGAAATTACGTTTTAATTACGTTGTAGCAACGTTCTGAACGTTGTGAAGCCATGGTTTGGTCCGAAAGTCGTGGTAAAACGTCGTGACAACGTTTTATTGGTACGTTGCAGCAACCGCGCACTTGCAGCATTATATTTTGATAATGCATGGTGACATATATGGCCATATAATGCATTTCCTTTGACTTTCAATGCGCATATTCAGTTTTCATCGTTAAATTTGACATATTTTAACACTAAGACTGTTCACGTTGTCAGCTGGTGGTCGCCAACACGTTGTTAAAACGGTTTTTCACAACCTTGACATTATAGGTACTGAATAATTAGCGGTGTTTTTACAAGTAAATTCCGATACCTTTCTCTCCCTATCTCTCTCTAATATATATATATATATATATATATATATATATATATATATATATATATATATATATATATATATATAACATGTGTAAATTGCAAAGCGTCATTGGCATGTTTTGCAACATCACAGGCGGAGCTAGAGGCTTGCAACTATCCCTATGTAAACGCGGCTGTTATCCGCGGCTGCCAGCAAGCCACGCGGGCCGCCACTCAGGCGAACGGTGGCTCGCGCCCTGACCTCGCCTGAGGGGCCGTGACGTCAGTGTCACCGGCCGGCGTTCAGAGCCAGCCGGCCGAGCCGCAGTCTACGCGGCGCGAGCGAGCAGTGAGGGCCGGCGTCGGGCGCGGCTGAGATAGCTGGAAGATGAAAGATAGCGCCAGTTGTCTGCGTTTGATGCGATTGTTGTTTTGACTGGTAAGTCAAAGTACCATTTACGAGTAGCATTTGCAAGATTGTGCCTTGTAATATCGTGCGGTCTAGGCTATAGTTCATTGTAGCTCTAGCCTCTAAGGTGTTGACATGTTTCAGTTTGATCTAGCCTGTCGCACTGTTACGGAAAGTGGTGCAGGTATTTTTGTGATTTTTTCATGAATTGAATGTCTCATTTTCCCTCATGTCTTCCCGCAGACGTCCTGCAACTCGTCAGCGCGCCTTGCGGCAGGCCTACTGTCGGCAATGCGGTAGCGAAGTGGCTGTCCGGAAGCTGCGACCGGAACGGGGGGTGCGCAGACCGTCTAGTCAGGCACTGCCAGCTGCCTAGGGACATCGAGGCCGCAAATGAGCCGGTGCCTAACGGTCCGCCGAGTGATCCTCCCAGCGAGGGTTAGTAAAGAAGTGAACTTCCACCAGTTCTGGCGTGCTAGCGGCTAGCGTCAGAGCCGGTAGAACCCAATTCCGTCCCACGCCCCCATGGGGGCGCCCCTGGGCCCCATGCCCCATCACCGATGCCGCCGCCGTCGTTTTGTTTGTTTGTTGTAAATTGACCTGTATGATGTATTGAAATATACACTTCTTACATGCCTTTTTTACAAGTCTAGAGAACGGGAAGAGAGCGTCGGAAACACATTCTGAGTATGTTGCGAACACGTCGAGAGGGCGTTGCAAAAATGTTTAGGACGTTTACTCAGGGTCGCAGGGACGGCAATGCGAAGTAGCGACAACGTGGTGCGCACGTGATAAAAACGTCGCAGAGACGTTGCCAAAGCGTTCTATACTCCTTGTAGTCACGTTGCGGAAACGTGGTGACAACGTTCCAGAAACACTGTTGGTACGTTACAGAAAACATTTCATAACGTTGGCGGGACGTTGTAAGAACAGTTTTGGGACGTCACGGCCACGTTACAGAAACGTTGTGATGACATTCAAATGCATGGTCGGATGACGTTGTCACGCCGTTGTCTGGAGTCTACAAAATTACGTTGTCACAACGATAAATCGGGACGTTGTGGTAACCATTTGACAACGTTTAAACGACGTTGTAACAACGGCAAATTGTTAGCTGGGGGAGTCGGAGCCGACCAGGAGCCCGGAGTCGGAGTCGGAGTCGGAGTCGGAAATCGCTACCACGACTCCGCATCCCTGGTGCCTACCTACATGCCAACTTTCAGCGCAATCGGCACATTATGTTACCGAGCTATTGCAACTGTTACAAAACTGACAACTCCTCGTTTTGCATGTGCCACGTGCATAAGGGGTCACCAATGACCCAAATGCATCGGGAATAGTCCAATACTTGGTAGAAGGAATGAAGCTACCCTACAAAAGTTACTGCATGTAAATGGGTCAAGTGGTTGCTAAGGTATAAGCCTCGCAAAAGCGTCCGCACGGCCGGCCGGCTGGCCACTCATACTCACAAATTTCAATTAATCTAAGCAAAAGACTCCGCTCGCTTCGCTCCCTCCATAATCAGGGTATTATTTCCACCAGCGGAGGAGAGTAGTTGTAGGAGAAATGATACACTAGTGCGAACTGTAAAGCACTGTGGTGCCCTGCTGTCTGTCCTTGACTAAGTGTCTAAGAGATGACAGCAATTGTCACTTGTGAGTTGTGGGAGAGATTATTGCAGGCAATAGTAAGCCAAATATTCAAATATTTTAGGTTAGGTGGTTGTGTATCTTGCTTCAGGCCTATGGCCTGAAGCCTGATGCATAATCACTCAACCTAAAATATTTGATTTACTAGGTATTGCCTGCAATCTATTCCTGGGAGTAACTTTTTCCCAATCCCTGGAAGGCAATACAGTAAGATAGGTTAGGTTAGATAAGATTAGATGACACACTACAAGTACACAGTACACAGGCTGAGTCATCAAAAATGAGGGTCATTTAAGTCCCCTGTTAAAAATTAGCTCCAGATCTAATAACGAATGGCAAAAAGCACCAAAATGCATGGTTGTTTGATATTTCTTACTGTCTGTGGGATTTGAACCGACAATCTCAGTCTTGTTGCAGAGCTCAAGGAATTGATAACATCTTTGCTAACTAAATAATCAATTTGCGGCCACCTAAGCACAGCCTGTCACCAGACCTCAGCCTCTGCCCGTTTACGAGCAAGTGTTGCGCCTGCTTAATGACTATCAGAAAATGATTGTGGTGACAATGAATATTTCCTGATAATATGCTAAACAGTGGATGCCACTATTCTCAGCAGGCATGGCCCAAGCCAAAAATTTCATCCCAAAATATGACACAGCATGAGATCCAAGTCACAAGCATTTGGTAGTCCTTGCTCACGCCTCATAACAATAACTTTCGTGGCTTACCCTGATATTGATATGTTTTTCAAGATGATTCCTTCAAAAGTCTTGATATTGATATTCCTGTGACGGATATGTGCCGTACGACTCTTTAGTGCCCTGTGCTGCTGTACAACTTGCCGTTTTGAACTCAGTTGGGGAAACTACGAGGCAAATGTCAAAAAATGGATTGGTCAATAAATGGACTTTTGATGACCATATATGGGCATAAATGCAGGCCCCGCTACTAAGGGTGAAAAACGGTATAACAAGCTGGTACTTGCGGTATCGCGTCCACTTATTGGAGAGAAAAGGCTTCCATTTTTCACTAGGAATTAATGTGATTTGATTAAATTCGGCGAATTGACTCGAAAATGGCGATAGGAAAATGGCTTTTCTGCAGGTTCTGGGCCTCACAATCAGCTGGCCATTCAATAAATGGATTGGTTTTATGAAAGAAAATCGTTAAAAGATTTAATTTAATTACAATAAACAAAAATATTTAATTCTAAAATAATAACTTAACTATAATAAGAAAAACCATAAACAAAATAATAAAAATAATGACATTTTTAAACCACGGTACTGCTTACATTTTTTGGCGCGTCTGTTTCAATCCGCAATATTTGCCAATCACGGTTTGACCTTGTGTTGTAACTCTGCGATTTAGAGCCGCCAGTTAATTATGCACCGGGTGAGTGTAGGCATTGTGTGGTTAAAAAACATTCTTATGCCTTATTTTTTCATTTGAATGCTAAAATTCATTGAAAAGATGAAGTTGTCTGATTTTACGACCATATATGGTCATCGCCCCGCCCACTCCAGCCGCTGATTGGCTAATCCAATTTTTGTTTGGCTCCTCGTAGTTTCCCCAACTGAACTCGGTAAAAGAACGTTGGGAGTTCTATAGCCTTGGAACGTTGATGTCGGCGTCAGCAAGCGCACGAATATCTACTTTGTGATAAATATGTTCTAACATCTGCTGACGGCATCTGTATTTTCGCTCAATTTGTCAATAGATAGAGTGACAAAACGTGAATATTTTAGTCATAAATGTATATAACTATATGACAACAACCAAAATGATACCTTTAAACTGTAGCTTTGTGAGCTGAAGTTTCTTAGATCGTAAATGAAAACAAAGGTTCATGGAAGAGCACTCACTCAGCAGCTGCTGCTCCTAAGAACGAACACAGCAAGTATACCAATTAATGCCGCAGAAGCGTGTCATTTGGCTACTTTTTGATGGTGCAAGCAGCTAGCAATTTCAACCCCTGAGTAAACCCAATTTCGCTTAGAAACTGCTTCGAGGTAAAAGACCGTCTAGCTTTTTTTGTCATCAGACTTCAGAGGCTTTTCATAAATGAGGCTCTCACTCAAATACAACAGAGCGGGATTGTGGTGGCTAGTGAGCATGAGCTGGCACTGGCGCCTTGGCAGTTGGCACTGGCAAGGAGATCACGTCTGCTCGCAGACGTGAACAACAGCAAACAAAAAAAGCTTAAAAAAGCAGGATGTCTTCCTCTAATCTAACAATGTTAGTATGAAGTCAGTGCACCCTAACCTCACTGATCCAAAACTCTAAAGATCTAAAGATAAAGGCAGATGTGCTGCTGGAGCTGGAGATAAAAATACCTATGTGTAACTAGTAGGTCACGTCCTCTATAGGTACCTACTATTGCCTTACTCAGGTGAGGTTCTGGTAGATGACGCCACCACTGCTGAAGCTGGTGCCAAGTTTTACCGGATGCCGTCCCTTGATGCTTTACTTCCATAAAGTGTATATGTTACGGGTCATATGCTAACTTGGGCAGTATGCAAACTGCCCGGGCAGTATGCATACTACCCAACAGCCCGGGCAGTATGCATACCGCCCGGGTAGTATGCATACTACCCGACCCCTTGGGCAGTATGCATACCGCCCGGGCAGTATGCATACCTCCCGGGTAGTATGCATACCACCCACCTTTCTTCTCACGGGCAAGATGTTTACTCGGGCAGTATGTTGACTACACTTCGTGAGGCTTGATAATGCAATAACTCGCGTATATATGTGAATGACAAACGTTTTAACCTTCCGGGCGATATATCTCCAGAATTCCGCTGCGCCGATTGCCACCAAACTTTCAGTACCCTCCCGGGATCGTAGCTATTACACATTGTGACCAAAAATTTTCCAAAGGCTATGATAGGTTGGCCGTTAATGACGTCTGAGTGACGTCATTTCTGCCATTTTCGACCCAAAAAAGGTTTCGCGGGAAGAGCTGTCAGGCCTACAGCTTTATAGATACAGAAAATGTTTAAGAATAGGTAGGTATAAAAGGTGTCGAATTAGAGGGCTACAAAACTGCTATTTCGGATTTTTTAAATTTTTAGATTTTGACCCCCCCCCCCCAAATCAAAAAGTAATTTTTCGAATATAATAGGCAAAAAATCCGGCAAGTTTTTTTGAATTTCGAAAAAAACCGGAAAAAATGTGATAGTCCCTACCGCCTTCTATCCACATACCAAATTTGAGATTGATTCCTCTTTTTTTCATTTTTGGCAAAGTTATGGCGAAAAAAGAACTGTTCAAAATTGATTACGTCAAATTTTGTCGTCATTTCATTTTACTCAGTTCACGCTTCACAATGACAATGACTTGTTGGCCACTGGTTATTCAACAATGGATTTGGGAAAAAGTAATTTCAACACTTTATTCCAATCCTCATTCCATCCTACGATCGATCAATCACGTTTGAAGACAAAAATTTTTCTCGGTCGATCTATTGTTATCTAGAGAGCCATTTATATTCTTAATGTGGACATGGATTACACAACTTTAAGTCGGAAAGTGGGCAGTATGCAAACTGCCCAAGCTTTTGGGCGGTATGCATACTGCCCAAGGGGTCGGGTAGTATGCATACTACCCGGGCGGTATGCATACTGCCCGGGCTGTTGGGTAGTATGCATACTGCCCGGGTAGTTTGCATACTGCCCAAGTTAGCATATGACCCGTAACATATACATGTATGTTTTTCCATGGTCCATCGTTAATTAGCATCATTGTGTGTGGCTAGGTATATTGATTGTTTCAAGCAAGGCGTTTCAAGAAGAAGGTGCATTTTTTAGATAGTATTCCTACGAAAGTTAAGGACTGATCACGTTCAAATTACAATAAGTGTGGAGCGCGAATTTTCTCCTTTGTGTGTGCACATAGTGGCAAATTTGTATGCCCGTTTGCACGTTTATTAAAAAACCCAACCATCGCCCACCCATGATTGCTTCTGTGAGTGTATAAAATTGACCGAGGAACATAGTTGTTCTGGCTACCCAACAAACTGACCGTTCTGTGATGTGAATGTACCATGCTAAATCACAAGTATCGTCCACCTTTTTATTGACAACGTAATACAATGCTATATCTACATAAGCATTTTTCTCACATCTCCACCCTGACTCGCTCTTTGTCCCTAAAGCGCGGCGAAAGGCGAGAGCAAAGACAGCAACAACATTAGGCGGCGCGATGCTGAAAGTCATGATGTGATCTGACTAGCTTCGACAGAGCAGACTTTCTGCGCCGCGGAATCACTCCAGAGGGCAACATTTGTGGCCAAGCCATACAAACATACACGCATTTATACCTACAGCTAACAGCGCGCCCCTATGTAATCACACAGTTCGAATATCAACACGACTAGGACAACAATTCGCGCCCAGCGAGGGCAAAGCGCTATGGATTGATTATGGAAGAAGGTGACTAATGTTTGAGGCAATTGACACAAAAGAGGTGGATAGCCAAAAACTTAACCCTACTGTGAAAATGAAGACATGCAAGCTAAACAAGAAATAAAGGCTTGAACAAGGCCGTATATAGGGGCTTGAAATATGACGAAAATGGGTGCAATGAATTCAGACGGAAAACAAAATACGGCGACAGACTGCTAAAAAACAGCGAATCACGTGCACTGAGAAACTCACTCGCCACAGCCGAGCGCATTGGCATGATGTGAAACTGACTAGATTCGACATGCCATACCATGTGTTTGCCGGCTTCCAACCCACTGAGGCATCGCTTAACAATAACAACAGCCACACTGGCCAACGTTCCTAGATTTGGACCACGCACAAACGGGCATACAGTAGAGACGTTGGTACTTTGCACGGCCAGGCATAGCGTCGAAAGCAGCAAGACCTTGGCGCGCCTTTTAGTTGAAAAGCGAAAGCGATGACAGCGGTCGCCGGGTCTCACAAAATAACAACACATAACCAACAACAATACACGCAATAGGACACTCAACAAATGCATTGACAGCTTTAACGCTGTTTCTGTTAGAGCGAAGACTACCTAAGCTCAACGACAGGTATTTTCTCTGGAGATACTTTTTGAATTTTCCTTTTTCTTCCAGTAACGTTAGAACTCGATAGAGCATTTTAATTCGGTGGGTTACGATGGACCTTATGTCCAGAACTTGTTTTAAAACTATGTAACAAGTGAGTTGGCATTTGACAAGAATGACAGCTTAGTTGCTTCATGGCGCATTGAATAATGCACAGGACATCAAGAAGCATACTGCTATGCTGCTTGCTTTCCAATATCATTATGGATATAGGCAAAAAAAAAAGAAAGAAAAAGAAGAACCCGCTGTTTTGAATGAAGCAATGACATGACAGAAGTTGATGAAAAAATTAAACAGAATTTCTATGTGCAATGCAAAACCAAATGAATTCGGGAGCCTATAATATAATACAGAGGCATTGCCTATGAATAAACTAGAATGAGAATTAAAAAGGCATACATATTATTTCATAAAAAATTAACAGGTAGTGTAGATATAGTATTTTCATAGAACCGTTTCTAAGGGTATTCAGAGATAAGACAGCTTTAACATAAAGCACAAAAAGGAAACTCTTCGCAAAACTTTTTGGTACTAGTATAGGGCATTTTCGAAAGCTACAAAAAACGCACACATACTTTATACAACCTTATCACAAATGCGCTCCTAGCTTTATAATCTATGCTTACTTAACTGATATTCTTTTACGCTTATTAGCTCATAAACTCTGGGATAGGCCCTCAGTCTGGCAAACCAGTTCCTGGGATAATTAGACAAATCGCCCCAAGGTTTCTCTCTGCGCCCCATAAAGCAGATACAATTGCAGCCCCTAGCCTG